AGAGACCAAAATTAAGAAAGAAAGAAAAAGAAAACGGAAGAGGATAGAGATTCTTGAAGGTTCCTCTGTTTTTTTTTTTTTAAGAAAACTATTGGTACATATTTTTTTATAAGAATAATGGTTAGTAATTAAGTTAAGAATTGTTAACAACTGAGAATTCAATATTTAGAATAGGTGATCTCTCACCCTCTTCATTGAAGAGCACACCCATCGACCCACATGGTGGAGTTCTATTGGTACACATTTTAAGGATATAAAAAATAAGAGAAGAAGGTTCATGAATTTGAAAAATGCAACTTATAGAGAGTGATTCTCACTGGCCATGATTCTCACTAACCAATAACCTTCACCAAAAAGCCAGAGTGTGGGGTTGATGAAAGTTCCTCTATTGTATTTTAACTTGTGCAATTGTCCAAAATTGATGATGTGGTGAAACCATGAAGTGGTTGGCCAAAACTTATATAAAAAAATTAATGCAAAAATTAATAATAATAATATATTTAATTATGTCTACATTACAAACAGAAGAGTCAAGCATTAGGGCCACCACGTATCCCTAGTAACGATTCCTTCTCTTTTTACAACCTTTTTCTGCAACTAAAGCACATACCAAGAAGCTAATATATAATTTAAAAGTACTCTCGTGCTTATCCAACATCAAAATTTCTAGCTAATTGATCTGACAAATTAATATTAAACTCCCCCAAAATGAAATTCACTAGCATAAGAGGAAGGAAACAAGGAAATTCGCGGCAGCGATCACCAAGACCAGCAATTTTCCGGAGCTTGCAGCTGATGAGTTGTCGGTTTGATGAGGAGGCTTCCGGTAATAGTATGGAAAATAAGGCAAGATGGGGTCAGGAGGGGGAGGAACGGACGAGAATCCATCACCTTGTGGTGGAGGGTAATATGGTAAATTCCCTGTCGGTGTAGGGTTGGTTGCAGGAGGAGGGTATGATGCTGTTTGAGAAGGTGGTGTCAAACTCGCCGGAGGAGATTGCGTGCCGGTGCCAGTGCCTGTGCCGATTGGTGGAGGGTAACAAGGATATGGACATGGGGTCTCTTGCATTGTTTGACCCCAAAAATTGAGAAGTATGAACATGAAAAGGAGGGCGGTGAGGGTTTGGTTTTGTTTGGTTGCCATGGTTGTTGAATGCTAAAGCAGGAGACAGAAGGGAAAGGAAAAGGAAGAGAGGAAAGAGTGGTATAGTGTGGTGAAGAAAAGAAGTGGGTGAGTAAAGTATGGGAGGTGTGGGATGACCTAATATTAGAAGAATTTTGGGGGTTAATGTTGTCATCAAGACCCATGGCTCAAGGGGTTGGAAATAAGGGGAGAAAGGGTTAAAGCAAAGAAAAGAAAGTCTTATCCGCTGCTTTAAAACCCCCCTTTTTTCTGTTGTATGAGTGGATCAGGGTCATTGTCCTACATAGGGACCCCTCGCATTTTTTTAAATTAGCTGCAAAAGGCATATATATATATATGATGTGAAATTTTTTCAATGGATATTTTTTGATATATAGTAGTTAATCATATAGCGAATTTTTAAGGAAAGGTAGTGTTGGGAGTTGGTGAAGAAACTACCACATGGGAAAGGCACCATTTCTGTTCATTTCAAGGGCTAAAGTATTCATTGTAGTCTGTATTAATGCACAGAGTAGGGTTTCATGGTTGGAAATCAATTTTTCTTTTTTTGAAAGGCATGGTTGAAAATCAATTGATAACTCATAACAAGAGGGAATATAAAAGTTGAATCTATTAATAAATAAATATCGTTTTATAAATCATATCTAAATTCAAGTAGTTAACATTCAAAAAAATTAATTTATTTAAATGCACAATACTAACATAATTGATAAACTTTTTAAAACCACTCAACAAAAAATTAATTTTAAAATATGTAAAAACTTATTCAAAGACTCTTTAACCATCCCAACCGAAGAAAAAGGGAAAAAATGAAAAAAAAAATCATAACAAGAGGTTAGAGAAAAGAGATCTAAATGTTCCAAGTTTGTACCTAATAAATGGTACATACTGTCAATTTTCTTTCAGAAAAGGGACTGAATATTCAAATTTCCTGAACCAGCTAGCCTTAGTGGGCCAAATGGCTCACTCCTTACTAAATGCTTGGGGCTCACGAGGTTAGAAATTCAACTCCACTGTGAAATTTCTCCTTTTCAATGCCCAATGGCCAAAAAATATATTCAAATTTCGTACCTATGACCTCCCGAATAAACCAAATCCCTACAGCATATGTGATTTGTAAATTACAATTTTAATTAGAATTTTTCTATCCTGTATCCATAAAGGTGTGTTTATTTATCATTAATTATATATTAATTTATATAAAAAAAAATAAAAATTTAACATTAATTTTAATATCTATGACACATAGATATTTTTTATTGAATAATTTGTAAAATTAATATCAAATTTTAGTTTTATTATGTGTGTTAATGATTAAAAATATAATAAATACATTATTTTTTTGTACCTTAACGACACAAAATAAAAATACCTTTTGAAGTAATCAATTAATAATGAACTAATCTATGATGCCAAGTGATTTCCCTATCAAATTTTAATACTTAGATTTAATTAATTTTGAGTAAAACTCTCACAAATTACTTAAAAATTACCTCTTTCCCAAATTTCTCGTGTTTTAAAAAAATTTAATAATGGAAACAATAAAGTGCAGTTTATTCTCAAAAACCGGTGAATATAATTATATAAATATATTTTTTTTAAAAAAGGAAATATCTTATTTTTAATTTTTAATTTATAGAATAAGGGAGAATACCGTCCCGGAATTAGTTGGAATTTGTGTATGGTGTCTAGTGCGTGTTGGATCTTTCTCAATCCCGCTCGCTTTGTATGATATCCGACAGCGTACCAAATTTTTGAAGAGCTCAATAAAGCCCACACCTTTTTGACGGTGCAAATGTGTACAACTCACCCCAGAAAACACTGCGTGCACATGGTATCATGTACGTTTCTCCTGCTCAAGGGCAGAGCCAGAAATTTTTTCTCAGAGGGACGAAATAATTTTTTTATATATTAATTTATAAAATTTTTAAATTTTAAAGAGGACAATATAATT